GCCCTCACCTCCTCCCTGCATCATCTTGTAGAACTTGCTCTCGATGTGCAGCTGGGGGTGCTTCGTTTTCACACATTCGAGCTTGATGGCAACACTTCCCCAGCGATGATAATGGGCGGGCTGTGTGGAAGGGCTGGGGCTGGGCTGAGAGTCAGTCTCCTTGTCCGGCCAGCCGTGACCACAGCTGCTGTAACTAACACAGTGTGGTGTCAGCACAGACAGACAAAGCAGGAAGTCTAGTGGGCACGGCCACCGGGAGAATTCAGGAGGACCAGGCTGGCACCCCGAAGCAGGGGACAGGATGGGGCTCTGCAATAAACATCCTGGCATACCTGGCTAGCCAGGTGACAAAGTCACCCCAGCTCAGGGCACATTCCAGGAAGAATCCCAAGTGGACCAAAAGTTTCTATTAAAATAAAACAGGTGGGGTGGCCCGGCCGGTGTGGCTCAGGGGTTGAGTGTCAACCTATGAACCAGGAGGTCACGGTTCAATTCTGGTCAAGGGCACACGCCCTGGCTTTGGGTTCAACCCCCAGCAGGGGGCGTGCAGGAGGCAGCCAATCAATGATTCTCTCTCATGATTGATGTTTCCATCTTTCTCCCTCTCCCTTCCTCTCTGAAATACATAAAATGATTGTGTTTCCCTCTGCTTTGCTGTTAGGAACTGTAGTTGTAGTTTAGGGTCTGCCTTTTGCCTTTTGTGTATTAACCTCACCTCTGTCTTAATTCTTTTCCCCTCAATTTTTCATCTATTTATTTTAATGCTGATATAATGTATGTATTTATATAGCCTTGTTTGGAATAGTCAGGGTATGAAAATAAGTAACATGATGTTATATTATATACATATATACACATATATATACATATACATACATATATATATATAAAAGCAGGCTAGAAGAGGTCAATCGGGAAAAGGGGGGTCATGTGTAATACTTTCAACAATAAAGATTTAATTTTTTAAAGTAAGCATATCCTAGGATGAGGATAAATAAATACCTACATACATACATTTTAAAACGGTGGGTGTAAGCTGGCCCAGCCCCTTTGGAACCAGCTGGCCTTTATCTAGTAAAGTGAAACACGCGTGACCAAGCAAGCCAACGCCCAAGTGCATGCCCTTCAGAAACACGAGCACTGGGAGGACGTGGCAAGAGTGAACACAGCAAGGACGACCCAAACGCCCACCAGCGGAGAGCGGCTCAGTGGTGACGCAGTCACACAAAGGAACGCCACGGGCGGGGGCGAGATGACGCTGCAGGCATCTTAGCTCCGAGTGCCAGAGAGCAAGGAGGCTCCATGCACAGCGCCAAAAGGCGCCCACAACCCAAGTGGCCGTCGACGGACTTGCGGATAAAACACACGTGTCTACACAGGCAGTGGACTATTACTCAGCCATAAGAGGGGATGACGTACTAACACATGCCACAACACCAATGAACCTTAAAAACATGTTCAGTGAGTAAGCCGGACACAAGAGGACAAAATACTGTACGGTTCCATTATACAAAATATCCGGAATAGGTCAGTCTCTAGAGAAAGAAAGTAGATTGGTGGATGCCAGGGGCGGGGGAAGGGGACACAGGGCGTACACCTGGTTAATGGGCACAGGGGTTCCTTTCGGGGTGATATGAATGTATCAGAGCCGGGCTGCACAACACTGGGAATGTATCAATGGCCACTGAATCGTGTACTTTAAATGGTTACGTTTGCTCTGGCCGCTGACTCCGTTGCCTCCTCCGGTCCATTAGGTCAGGGTGCATAGGGGAGGCAACCAATAGATGCTTCTCTCCTACATCAATGTTTCTCTCTCTCTCAAATCAATAAACATAACCTCCCGTGAGGATATTTTTTAAAAGGTTACTTTTATGTCATGTGAATTTCGCCTCAATTATTTTTTAAAAGGAGGAAGGGAGAGACAAGAGGCAAGCACATTTTGTCTAAATTTCAAAAAAACGCAACACCAGTTGAGCATCAACCTACAAACCAGGAAACCATGGTTCAATTCCTGGTGGGGCACCTGCCCAGGTTGTGGGCTCGATCCCCAGTGTGGGGCGTGCAGGAGGCAGACAATTAATGATTCTCATCACTGATGTTTGTATCTCTCCCTCTCCCTTCCTCTCTGAAATCAATTAAAAAAACATTTTTTAAAATATCAACAGCAGTTTCCTCTGTGAGGGGAGAGCGAGGACAGGGAGGAAGGGCTGCCAGGGGTCCTCACAAGGGGACAGGCAGGTCCTCCTCCAACGGGGTGGTGGGAAGGGTGCCTGACACCATGCACACATTGTATACGTGTTCTTTTGTATTTACTCAAAATTTAATAAAAAAAATAAAACAATGCGGGGGGAAGAAATGTTAGAAGAAGGGGGACTTGCCTTCTTTTTTTAAACCTCACCTGAGGCTATGTTTTTATTGATTTTTTTTTAGAGAGAGATAAACATCAATGTGAGAGAGAAACACCAATCGGCTGCCCCCCATACACGCCTCGAGAAGGGATAGAACTCATAACCTGGTGGGTCCCCAGACCAGGAATCCAACCTGCAACCTTTTGGTGCAATTAAGCCTCCCAGCCAGGGCAGGAGAACTGTCTTTTAGTTTGGGGGTAGGCAGGGCTTTTTATCCCCGACTTAAAATCCGGAAGCCATTAAAAAGGGAAAAAAAATGGCTTCCTCACCTCCAAAAAAGGAATCCCTTCTCCATGGCAAAAATACCAGAAACAAAGTCCTAAGAAACACATACTCCTAACCCTTCTCAGCGGTGAGGAGCTAACATTACGTGGCTAATACAGTATAACCAGCTCCGAGAGATCGGTAGGAAAAAGCCCAAAGACTCAACAGCAAATAGGGTAAAGGATCTGAACAGACACGCCACAGAGAAAGAAATCGTGAATGTAAAAATGGCTTACTCATAGGAAAAGATGTCCTATCTACCTCCTTGTAAGAAAAATACAAATGAAAATGCTCCTAAAAGACCATTTTCCACCTACAATTGGCAAGAGCCCCACCAGAAGACGACAGGTTGTCTGTTGTGAGGCTGTGGGCAGTGGGCACTCCTCCCCTGGTGGTCCAGGCGAAGCGAAGGTCCCTGCAGGGGCGACGTGCCACCACCCAGCTCCCACTTGGAGATTACTGGTCACCCCCGCCCGGTGCAATACGAGGCCCGGACCAGGCTGTCCACTGTAGGCCGTTTGTGACAGCAAAAGCCTGCAAACAACTGAAATGCCCGTCATTCTGGGGCCCGGTTATGTAAAGAATGGGCCATCCATAAGCCCGACTACAATGGAGAAAGAATGAGGAAGCTCTCTCTGTGCAGAAGTAGAAAGATCTCAAAGATACAGGAAGTGAAAAAGCTAAGTACAGAACACTATGTATCCTATGCCCTCTTTTCAGTACAAAAAAAAAAAAAAGGCAAGGAAATAATATGTGTCTATGTTTGGTTGGATCTATATAAAGAAACACTGAAAAAAACATGAGAGCCAGGGAAGACGCTGCACTGGATACTATGTTATGCGCTATCATTCTTTTCCGCACCTTTGTTGAGATGTAACTCACATACTGTACAATTACTCCTTTGAAGTGTACAATTCAGTGGTTTTTAGAATGTTCACAGGATTGTGCAACCAACCCCACAGTCAATTTTAGAACATTTTCATCATCCCCAAAACACTTTTACCCCTGAATAGTCAACTCTGCATCTTCCCCCCTCCCCCCCAACCCCCAGCTCCAGGCAACCTCTAATTAACTCGGTCTCCAGGGATGGGCTGTTCTGGACATTTCTTAGAAATCGAATCATACAATATGCGGTCTTTTGTGACTGGCTTCTTTCACTTCGCATGTTTCTGTGTCTTGGCTTTTGGGCTTGTGTGTTTTCATTTTTGAGCCACATAAAATGAAGTTAAAATAAAAAAAATAAACAGATTACTAAGCCCATGAGCAATGGGAGAGAAAGTGCCTTGCAAACTATGAAGTGCTTTTGACACATCAACCTTCACGGCTGGGGGAGCGCACACGTTTCCGGGGATAGTGAGGATGTGGCAGGGAGGGGAGCTGGGCTCGGTGCCGTCCACCAGGCTGGCCATGACCTCTTCCCGCCCGCGCAAGAGCAGGAGAGCATAGCAGTTAAGAGTGTGGGCTCCTGCGCTGGCCGGTTTGGCTCAGTGGTTAGAGTGTCGGCCCTGGGACCGAAGGGTCGCAGGTTCAATGACAGTCAAGGGCACGTACCTTGGTTGCAGGCTTGATCCCTGGACCCTGGACCCTTGCCGGAGGCAACCAATAGATGTGTTTCTCTCACATCGATGCTTCTCTCTCTCGGTCTTTCTCCCTCCTTTCCACTCTCTTAAAAAAAAACCAATAGAAAGAATACCGTCGGGTGAGGATTAACAACAAAACCAGTGCGATAGATGTGTTTCTCTCACATCGATGCTTCTCTCTCTCTGTCTTTCTCCCTCCTTTCCACTCCCTCTTAAAAAAAAAACAATAGAAAGAATACCCTCGGATGAGGATTAACAACAACAAAAACAGTGCTGGCTCCAAGCCCAAATCCTGATTCTGCCACCTCCTAACCAGGGGACCCTGGCAAGTCGCTTTACCCCTCTGCGCCCCAGGCACCCCACCTATAAACTGGGGTTGACAGTACCTCGCTCATCATGGCTTTTGAGGTGCCAGCAGGCTTAGCTGCGTGCCTGGCGCACTGTGAAGTGCTTGAGGAACATTGGGTTTGGTGACCAGGACCAACCCCTGGGCTTCAGAGATGAGCCTGAGATGCCCTGACCATGTGTGGGGCATGGAAGGAAGGAGAGAGGGAATAGGCCTTCGGTGGGGAAAGGAGCGTCCCTGGACAGAAGGCTGCAAGGGTCCCGACGCCTGGTCAGGGCTGTGCTGGACAGCGACCACAGCACGTGCAAAGGCCCGACAGGAGGGGGTGCAGAACCCTGAACTGCAGCTGAGGGTGACAATGAAAGAGGAGAGCAGGGCAACGATCAGGTCTCAATGCCCAGCAAAGACCCTGGCCCTTAGCCTGAGACTCCAGGAGCCAAGCACAGATGCCTGCTCACAGGGTCTCTCGGCCTCCGAGCTGCTGACAGCCTCTGTCCCGGGCAGTGGAGGGTGTCCAGCAGCATCCCTGGCCTCTACCCACGAGGGACAGTAGTACCCCCTTCCTTGAGGAACAACATTCAGAATGTCCCCAGACCTTGTCATATGTCCCCCATGGGACAAATCCCCTTCTCCCCTCAGGGAGACCCATGAGTGTGAGGACTGGCCTGAGGGACCCAAGGCTGCTGCCCTGGTCCAGACAAGAGCTGACAGCGGCCCCACCCAGGCGGGGGCAGGGCCTCCAGCAGGGAGGAGAGGTGATGGGGAAAGGGACTGCCCCCGAGGTGGGGAGGTAGGGAGGAGAGGAGCCCTTTATGCCTCTGAACTCTTACAGCATCCTGCAAGCACTACCGCGTGTAGAAGCAGAGATGCCAAAGGTCAATGACTAAACGTCACACAACTTCTCTGGGACAGGGCCCAACGGTTAGGCAATCTTCCGACCCCACCAAGTGCTGGAAACCTGTCCCAGCTGCTTCCCCAAGGGTCCCGCCCCTGGACCCGTGTGCTGCCTCCATGTTCTATCTGGACGCTGCCCATGTTTTCTCTCTCTCCCTTAACTCTCACAACTGCTGAGCTGAGGCTCAGAGAGGTTAACTAACCGGCCTGAGGTCACACAGAACTGGTTGCAACAGAGCCAGGATTTGAAACTAAGCCCCAAGCCCGGCTGGTGTGGCTCAGTGGTTGAGCATCAATCTATGAACCAGGTCAGGGGTGGAGACCCAGTCAGGGCACATGCCCAGGTGGCAAGCTCGATCCCCAGGGGGGTGTACAGGAGGAAGCTGATTAATGATTCCCATCACTGATGTTTCTCTCTCTCTCCCTCTCCCCTCCTCTCTCTGAAATCAATGAAATCGATCCCCAGGGGGGTGTACAGGAGGAAGCTGATTAATGATTCCCATCACTGATGTTTCTCTCTCTCTCCCTCTCCCCTCCTCTCTCTGAAATCAATGAAATTGAGCCCCAAAGCCCCTGCTTTATTCTCTATTCCAATTCCCTAGCACCTCATTCATTCATGCAACAGACACATACCGAGCCCTGGACCAGCGAGGCAGTCCTGCCTGCAGCTCAGCTCACCTCTGTGGGAGGAGCCCGGGCTGACTGTGACCAGGTAAAAGGTGCCCGGGAGGGGCGACAGAGGTGCCGCCAGCTAGAAACAGGGGCCTATGGGGGGACAGTCTGGCCTGGAAAACAAACTTGGTCAGAGAAGGGCTTGGCCCTGGCCAGCGCTAGAGGGTCTGGGAAGTGCTAGCTGGGAGGGCTGGCCTCACACTGGGGGGCTCAGATACCCACATGGACACAGACACAATCAGGAGCCGATGGGACCAGACGCAGAGGGCGAAGTCCCTCCATAGCCACCTGGTGGGAGCACCAAGCCCTCCCATTTAGAACCAAGGACCAGAGACTAAAAGGTGTTGCGCTCCCAAGGGCACATGGCCAGTGGCTGGCAGAGTGAGCACGGGCTTGGACAGCTCTGGACCCCATTCAGCCAGCTTGAGGCCCTAACAAAGCCGGCCCCACTCTCCCGCTGTCCCCCTTACGATGTTGCCGGGCGTGGGGGAAACGGACCAAAGAGGGGCTGGGGGCCTCGCAGCCGCATCCACAGTGTGTGCATCCACAATGTGTCCGTTCGCCTTCGGGGATCCTGGGAAGCAGGGCCTGGAGGCCGCGCCCAGCCCCACCTGCAGAGGCCATCTGGAGTCAGGCCCTGGCGGCAAGAATGTGGCCAGAGCTTTGAACAAAGGGAACCAGCAAGGCCAGCCGGGGAGGCCCTACAATCACCACTGTCCTCGCGCCAACAAGACAGGGGCCCAGGAAGGAGTTGGCGGGACAGTGTCAGACTGGGGCCCCCATGTACCCAGCGAAGACCGGACAGCCAGCGAGAAGGGGCTCCCTCCCTCCCCCTTGGCCCAAGAGGACAGAAGCAAATTCCAACTAAGACCGAGGGTTGGGGGACACGCAAAAAAGCACTACTGCTGGGCCGAGCATGCGCAGGTGTTTCGCACGCTGTGATCTAGCTCATTACTTCTCACCGCTTTGGAGGCCTCGTGCCCATTTTACAGATGGGAAAGCCAAGGCTGTCAGAGGTCATCACTTGCTCAAGGGCACACAGCTAGTAAAAGAAATGCCAGCACCCAAACCCTGGTAGGATTTACTCCAGAGCCTGTACAGCAGGAGGAAATCTGGCCCTAGGGTTTAAAATGAACTGGATGAAACACAAAAAAGTAAAAAGAAATAAAACAAACTAGATGACTACTAGATAAACAGCAAGTCCTGCCCCCAGGTTGGTCCTGCACGTGGACCAGAGGCACTGGCTTTCTGAGTGACCCTGGCCTGCCCCTCCTCCTCTCTGGGCCTCAGTTTCCCTTTGGGAAAAAGAAGGCTCTGGACCGCGGGCTGTCTGGGAGCAGGTGTGCGTCTGTGCCAAAAGCTGCCTCTCGGTGCCCTTTGCCCTCAAGCCAGCGGTTCCAGGCTTCAGTCCTGAGCCCCAGAGCCTGGTGGTAAGAGTCCTTTATACCCAGCCCAATTTCACAAACAGGAAGGGTACGGGTACCCCTTTCACAGGTGAGAACACTGAGGCTCAGAGAGAGAAAGTGACATCCTGTCACACAACAAATGAGGGAGACTGGGGGCCTGAACCTGGACCTGCCCCCAAGTCCCAACCCCCTTCCCCCGGCTACGTGAGGCTGCTTCCCATGCCTGCGCCCGTGCCAGCCACTTCCTCCTCCATCCATTCGAGAAGCTTCACTAAACACCCACTTTGGGCAAACCACATGCTGGGCTCTAGGGACAGAGGGTGGAAACAAACCAATGCCTCCTGCCCCAGAGGAGCTTGGCGTCAGAGAAAAACCTTTAAAACGACTGCACGCTGCACTGCGCCTTCCTCCCCTCTGCGCCCAGCAGTGCTGAGAGGAGGGTGAGCTACCGTGCGCCCGGCTGGCACTTCAGTTACGACGCTTTCCCATGCCACGCGTCGTGCCATTTCTGCTCCTGACAGCCTGTGGTCAGCCAGGCGGCAGCATCACAGTTTCTAGTGGGGACACACGCCCAGAGCAGCCGCACAAAGCAGGCCCGGCACCCACGCTGTCTGGTGTCTCCCTCCCACGTTCTGTCTTCCGTGCTCCGTCCCTCAGGTGGGGGGCTGTGGGCATAAAGGCACCGTGGGGGCCACTTAGCCACAAAGCTCCTGCTTCTCCACGTGGGAATGGGGACAGCACAGTGCCACCACTAGAACTGCTGGGACAGATCACGCTGTTCAGCACGAAGCATGCGAAACATGCGCTGAGACCGTGTGCACTCCCCCTCCCCGGCCCTCTGACAGGGAGGGGGGGCTCCCTGGTTAGCAGACTTCATACCCTAGAGCAGGGGTCCTCAAACTACGGCCCGCAGGCCACATGCAAATACAAATATTGTATTTGTTCCCGTTTTGTTTTTTTACTTCAAAATAAGATATGTGCAGTGTGCATAGAAATTTGTTCATAGTTTTTTTTTTTAAACTATAGTCCGGCCCTCCAACGGTCTGAGGGACAGTGAACTGGCCCCCTGTTTAAAAAGTTTGAGGACCCCTGCCCTAGAGGGCGGGGACCTCCTCACCCCAGCTCTGAATCCAAGAGCACAGCACACTGACGGGCCGTCTCCTCCTTTCCCAAGGACACGGCCGAGAGTGAGGAGAGACAGGCGCTGGCCGCCTTGCTCTGAAACAGTGGTTCTCAACCTTCCTAATGCCTCGACCCTTTAATACAGTTCCTCATGTCGTGGGGACCCCCAATTTCATTGTTACAAATCGAACATAATTAAAGCATAGTGATTAATCACAAAAACGATATGTAATTATATATGTTTTCCGATGGTCTTAGGCGACCGTTCGACCTCCAAAGGGGTCGCGACCCACAGGTTGAGAACCGCTGCTCTAGCAGCTCCAGTTCACAATTACCCACAGGACACCTCCTCTGCAGGCCAGCAACCGCCAGGAGGGCCCCGACTCCAG